AGCAAGCTCTCTAAATCATGAAGAAGTCCGGGGATATATTGCTGACAATATTGAGATACTGCACTAGCCATGTTGCGAGAGAAAATCTTCATTCGTTGGATGCAAACGTATTAAGAACTTGAAGTAAAAAATTATGATGCTAAGAAACAGCCACTCTTGTTCATACTTCTCTTAACGAAACTAACAACCAAATCTTCTTTTCTCTTTCCCTAGAGCTCGTTCCCGTCACATGTAATTTATCAAACACCCAACGAAAGTACAAATTAATTTCATTATTCATAATTACGGCAGTCTGAGCCAGACATTTTGCTACGGCTGATTTAAACGTAGCTGGTGGCCTAACAAAAAAAAAAACGAAGAATTTCTTTTGTTAATCATGCTAATGAAACAAGAATCTTAATTAGCTTAATAATACCGTTGATCTTCAAATAAGACGTCAAGACCCGACGAGTTTTCGGATCCTCCGGTCACCATTTCAAAAATCTGCGTTTTTTCCCAAGGAGTAGAAGGTTCTCCTAACAAAGAGACAAGCTGATTAACGTGTGCAGTGCGCCTGGCGTACACTGACTCATTCTCATCGCGTATCCGAGAAAGTAGCTGATTTACGCGAGAAAGTTTTATTGAATCTGCGTTCAGGAAAGGATCATTAATAACATTCCTTGGTGAAAAGAGGAAATTGGGCATTTTCTCACCTCTGTGCTCTTGGCTGTAATGCTGTTGAACGTACGGTTGTGTTTGGTGTGGACGGTGATATGAAGAACGTCTCCCATAGCGATTTCGTGATCCACTACTCATTCTTAAGGAAGTTTGATGAACGAACAATTTTGATTATCGATTTGTGCATATAAATGCAAATATCACGTGATTTTATGATATGCCAATAAATTCGTTTGTTGTCGTGCAAAAAATCTTAACTGAGATTAAAAAAAAACGCATTGTTCATCGATTAAGGATGTTACTGAGGAACCTGAGATTTTCATATGCGCAAATTACTTCTGTAAGTTTTATCTTTGTTTTATTGTTTACGAGAAAGCCTTCTTGTTTCACATAAATTCAGTTCAATTAATCCAACATTTTAAAGGTACCTCGTCTACATTTTCGTCAATTAAGTATCGCATCACCCCAAATGGTAAGTTAATTCCCGAGGTTCTATTTAATGAAAAACAAACTAAATGCGTACTACATAAATCACGTGAACGAGGTCTATAATGATCCCACACATCTCTCACTAATCTGTTTCCTGTTTTTTGGCTTTTTTTTAAATATCATGTCGGACCAGCAAAAATTTAGAATTGAAAAAGACACTTTCGGTGAAATTGAAGTGCCCGCGGACCGTTACTGGGGTGCTCAAACACAGAGGCACGTTATAATTGCCCTATCATTGATAATTGACAATTCAAAATCAAGTAAATAATCAAATCACAATATTCTAGGTCTCTACAAAACTTTGACATCGGTGGACCGACAGAACGTATGCCTGATCCCTTAATAAAGGCTTTTGGAGTATTGAAAAAAGCTGCAGCTACAGTTAATATGATCTATGGTCTTGATCAAGAGATAGGGAAGACGATTATCAAAGC